GGTGGAGGGGGCGGGGCCAGGAGGCGTTTAGTGACCGAAGCCCTGAATTAGTCAAGATTTATCCTCCCTCCTCAGACTGGGACATTCCTTGAAAATCACCACATAAGGCTCCATTTCAGCGTTACTGGTCTCTGGTGTGGGGACAGCACCCCACTTTTGTTTTACTGTGTTCCCTTCCTCAAGCATCATGTTTTGGAAGAAAGGCTGCTAATTATATGTACTGTTGCACTATTGCTGATAGCTTTGTGTCAGTTTTTAAAAATTTAATGACAAGTCATAACATTCTGTCCCTGAGGTAGTTGTCGTCCCCAATTTATGGAGAAGGAAACGTTCTCAGGCAAAATAACTTGTTTGAACTCAAACAGCCAGTGAAGAGGGGTGCCCAAAGTCTGGCTCTCCGCAGCCCGTGCCCTAGCCCTGAGCCCGGCTGCCTCCACAGGTTAGCCAGACAAGGAGTGGCACAGCTGAAGCCAAAGTAAAATCATGAACAGCAAGAGAAGACATCACACCAGACGGTTTTAGTTAACCTGAATGGAGTTATCTAGAGTGAGTGGCTATGTAGGGGGGGTTTAGGTTTTTTATTTTTGGAATATATTACGGTTTTAGTTAACCTGAATGGAGTTATCTAGAGTGGCTATGTAGGGGGGGGTTAGGTTTTTTACTTTTGGAATATATTTTTATTAATTTGAGAGAGGAAGGGAGAGAGAAACATCAATGATGAGAGAGTATCATTGATGGGCTGCCTCCTGCACACACGCCCCCCACCCCACCCCCCTATGGAGCCTGCAACCTGGTCATGTGCCCTGTCCAGGAATTGAACCGTGACCTGGTTCATGGATCATGGCTCCAGCACTGAACCACACCAGCCGGGCTCTTAGGCTTTTAAAAATTACTTAAAATAGTTCAGAGACCTCTTTTTCTACCCTACTAAAATCCGTATAGGTCAGGGTTCTCCAGAGAAATAGAACCAATAGGATATGTTTATAGAAAAAGATTTATTTTAAGGAATTGACTCTGCAATTCTGGAGGCTGGCAAATCCAAAACCTTAAGGGTAGGCAGGCAGACCCAGGAAAGAGCCATCGTTGCAGTTCAAGTGTGAAGGTCATCTGCTGGCAGAACTCCCTCTTCCAGGGAGTCCGTCTTCTGCCTGGGGTTTGGATTACAGACTGAGTTGGTACTGCCCTACAGTGGAGGGCTGAGGGGCGGGGAGATGAGTGACTTGCCCAAGGACACAGCTGGTTAAGGACCACAGTGTCTCTCTCCTGTTTCCTGGTTCCCAGCCCAGTTCTTATTACTCAGCACTGGAGTGTCTCATGTTTGAGCTCTGGCTAGTTTGGGATGACAGGTGACATCTGACCTAGTCCCCTGCTACTGTCCTTGCCTTTTGCTATTGCTTAACTGGCAGAAGCCAAGGTGGGAAACTTGATAATCCTGCTTAAAATTATGGAGGCTTTTCTTTTTATATATATACTAGTGGCCCCGTGCATGAAATTCGTGCACTGGGGAGGGGTGTTCCTCAGCCCAGCCTGCACCCTCTCCAATCTGGGACCCCTCGAAGGATGTCCTACTGCTGGTTTACAGGGATCGGGCCTAAACCGGCAGTCGGACATCCCTCTCGCAATCCGGGACTGCTGGCTCCTAACCTCTCACCTGCCTGCCTGCCTGCCTGATTGCCCCTAACCACTCTGCCTGCCGGCCTGCTCACCCCCAATTGCCCCCCGCTGCTGGCCTGCTTGCCCCCACCTTCCCTCCCTACTGCCTGCTCGCCCCCAACTGCCCCGCTGCTGGTCTGCTCACTCCAAACTGCCCCCCCCGGTGTCCTGATCACCTCCAACTGACCCCCACTGATGGTCTGCTTACCCCCAACGGCCCCGTCCCCCACCAGCCTGATCACCCACAACTGCCCTTCCCTCTTGGCCTCTAACCATCTCTACCTCAGCCCCACCACCATGGCTTTGTCCAGAAGAATGTCTGGAAGGTCTTCTATATATTTTATTGATTTTTTACAGAGAGGAAGGGAGAGGGATACAGAGTTAGAAACATCGATGAGAGAGAAACTTCCATCAGCTGCTTCCTGCACACCTCCCACTGGGGATGTGCCCGCAACCAAGGTACATGCCCTTGACTGGAATCGAACCTGGGACCCTTCAGTCCACAGGCCAATGCTCTATCCACTGAGCCAAACCGGTTACGGCGGAGACTTTTCTTAACTGAGGAGCTCGATCCTCCTAAGCTTACCGTCTACACGTCCTTTTCTCACACTTCACTTACAATTTTTAATTAGTTCACAGTTTTTAAAATTCAGGTGTTCGATTTCTTTTTGCGGAAAAAAATGACCAGATCTGGCATCTCTAATACTAAAATTCCATATGGTGTCACAGTAGAATAGTGGCTACTCCATTTAAATGGAGGCATATGGAGGGGAAATTCGGTTACAAAATAGGCAAAAGACATGCGCGAATATTTCATCAAGAGGAGATACAGATGTTAAATATGCATATGAAAAGATGTTCAAGATCACTAGCCATTAGGGAAATGCAGGTTGAAAACACCATGTGCCATCACTGCATACTTATTAGAACAGCTAAAATAAAAAATAGTAATAGTACCAAATGCTGGTGAGGATGCAGAGAAGCTGGGCTGCTGGCGAGAATATAAAATGGTACAAACACTCTGGAAAACAGCAGTTTCTCTCAAAAGAAAACAAAAACAAAAAAAACATGCATTACCGTATGACCTAGCCATTGCAGTCTTGGGCATTTACCCAGAGAAATGAAAACTTATGTTTATACAAAAACCTGTACATGAGTAGCTGCTGTGGAAAACAGCATGGCAGCTCCCCCCAAAAATAAAAATAGAATTATCATATGACCCAGCAATTCTACTTCTTGGTGTACACACAAAAGAATTGAAAGCAGGGACTTGAACAGATACTTGATAAAGGATTACTCCACAAAATATTGCTTCTGCTCCATGGAGTAGAATTGAGTTGACAAGACCAGATAGACTTTCTTTTTTTTTTTTTTTTAGGTAAAACTTATGGTGAAAGGTGTATTAGTTACAGACACTAAGTGCTTTGGGACTCCTCCAGAGGAAAGGTTGCTGTGGGCTGGTTTGTCAGGGCTAGTTGTACTGGGAGGAAGTGATTGAGTTGGGACTTGATGGAAGAGTAGAGAAGAGCCAGGCAAAATAATACAATAGAAATAGAAGGGGAGAGGAGCAGTGTGAGCAAAGGTTCCGAGAGTGGCATATGAAAGATAAATATGGGTGGTGCGTAGACCAGCCTGTGAAACAGTTTTCAGATACACAAAGTACCAGGACAAGGTCCTGAGTCACCTACTGGCTAGGTTTTTGAACAGAAGAGAGAGTGACATTGAAAGCAGTGTAGTTCGATCTGGCTCAGAAGCAGGTGAAGGGATGATGTGAGAGTAGGAAAGTCTAGAGGTGGGTAACTAACCACGGAACGGAAGGGATCAGCAGATCAGATAGGATTTGAGGTGAAGCCCGGGTGATGTCACCTGCCTGAAGTACGGAAGGACCCTGATTTGGGGGAGTGCATCCCCACCAGCACCTGCATTTCCATCTGTTTCCATCAGAATTATTATATTCTTGTTTCCTTTCTGAAAACAGAGTGAATCCACCAGATTCCTAAAAGGTAGAGAGAGGATTTAGTGACTCAGCTCCATGGATCCTCCTGATTTTACCCCCTTGTCTGCAGAAGTGACCTGAGGTCATTCACAAGTGGAGGGGTGCTGTTGACTACATACTCCTGCCCATCTACAGCTCCTGGCAACCATCCACTAGCTGCCTGCCAAGGCCTTTGCAGAGAGAGCTGTCTCCATCACCAGAAACCTCCAACATTGTGCTGGGGCTTGACAGGCAGCAAAGGAGTGGCGTGTGTCACCTGCAGAAATTGGAAGTTCTGACCTCTTAACTAATGATGTTCAGTGTTGGGTTGTCTCTGATGCAATGAAGCGACTGAGTGTGAGAAAAATTATTCTGAGTAATGAGGAAGACAGGATGGCCTGAGCCCAGGCTGAGCAGTGAAACCTACTTTGGTTGTGTTTGTACTAGCTGCCAGTCTGGTACTTGAAGACCTTGCCCCGCTATCCTTCCCCTCCCCCATTTCCCATTACGTAGCCTTACTAGTCTCCCTCTCTCACAGTGTGTGTCTTTCTTCACAGACCGTTTTTACCCAGAAAAGCAAGCTGCTCCCTGACCCACTGGACACGAGACGCTGGCAGGGCTTCCAGCTGGAGGAGTATCTGATAGGGCAATTCATTGGCAAGGGCTGCAGTGCTGCTGTGTATGAAGCCACCATGCCTGTGTTGCCCCGGAACCTGGAGGTGGCAAAGAGCATCCGGCTTCTTCCAGGGAGAGCCCCAGATGTCATCCCACCAGGAGAAGAGGAGGCGCGAGCTCCACGGCCCCCTGCTTTCCCCTTAGCCATCAAGATGATGTGGAACATCCGGGTAAGAATGGGCCTTCCATCTTCGGAGTGCCAATCTCGGGGGACCTGATGATGCTTTTTCCCAGGAAGTGGATAGGAAAAGACAGATTCTTCACAGTCCAGGTGCTTATGTAGTCGGGCTTCTTCACCCTCTCACACAGGAGTGTGAAGCCGTGTGTCTCAAAACGTAGTATGTCCACGACTCACCTGGAGATTAACAGATTCTGATCGGGTCTGGGGTGGGCCTGAGATTCTGCCTTTCAGTAAGCTCCCAGGTGGCGCCCGTGCCGCTGGTTGTGAAACAAAGTTTGAGTAACAAGTGCCTAAACCATTGGTTTCTCACCTGGCAGTCCTGGCTGATCAGTTAGTTCATTTCAGGACTGCAGTTACCACCATCTTTTCTCCTTCCTGCGACCTGCCTCACTGGAGAGGAAGAGGCACACTCCTTATCTCTAACCTCACCCTCCACCTTACCTCCAGATCAGGGGCTTGCTTGTCACCTCCCTGCTGTCAATTCTGGGAGGACTCCAGGTGTTGGGATATTGAGTTTATTCCCCCCACAAAAGCAAAGATTTTTGTCTATTGAGAGTAATTTCTTTACCTTGCCAATTACATAGGCTGGCTTAGAAAATTCATCAAGACCTGATGTTCTTTCTCCTGCCCAGAGCATACATCCAAGTCTAAGATGAAAAACAGCCATGAGCTCATGCTGGACCCTGAAGTGCAGTTTCTTGTTTTGATTTGGGGAAGGAAGGTTATTAGACTGTTGCCCTTCCAAGCTGGGTTAATAGCTAACAAGCATCTGAACCCTTTGCCTATAAAACATCCAGTGGAAGCGTCAAACTTCCACTGGTTGGGGCATGAGAGCTCTTGCATTCAGAAAACCTAAAAGACTTGATTCTTACAGGATATTCTTGATGCTCAAGTTTCTTGGGTACTGAGAGCTGTTCATAGTGAAAAGAGGTGAATAAGGTCATTTTCTTCCTCTTTGGTATTGTTGGTTGTTTGTTTCTTACTGGGAGATGGGAAAGCTGTTCTGTGATTCAGCACAACCTTACCTTGAGTGGGCTGGTCAGGCTCTGACCTGTCTGCTGCAGGGAACCGAGAGGCTAGGTCTGCTTGTTACCAGAGGCATCTGTGGCAGGAAGAAGGGTCCCATGCCCTGACCATCCTGATCTCTCTTCCTGCCCTGGCATCTGAACATCCTCTGAGTTGGCATGGATGACACCTCCGCCCTATCTCAGGAGGGACTAACCTTGGCTTGCCACTTCGAGAGGTTGGCTTATCTTTTTTTTTTCACTCCCCAAAAAACACATATTTTTATTTTTTTCAACAAAGACATGGTTACTTTTTTATTTGAAGGAGAGAAAAAAAGTATGTTTTAATAAATACTGTGGAAACATTGACCAAACATACATTGACTTCAACATTTTAAAAAATGCAATGAAAGTTCTGCTTTTTAACAATTATAACTTTTCTTTTTACAATATTTAAATACAGAAAGCACTTGCCAGCTATTTTGTAATACTGCCCAAAGCATAATGCTGCTTCAGTCAAAACATATTATGTTGGCAGAAACATCTGTATTTCATGGGAAATGACTGGTATTTCCTTGCAGAGACAAAACAAAGTGCTTATAAAACATAGAACTAAGTTTGTAATTACCTTAGTCTCCTTTCTTTTTTTTTTTTTAAATATATTTTATTGATTTTTTACAGAGAAGAAGGGAGAGGGATAGAGAGTTAGAATCATCAATGAGAGAGAAACATCAATCAGCTGCCTCCTGCACGCCCCCCACTGGGGACGTGCCCGCAACCCAGGTACATGCCCTTGACCGGAATCGAACCTGGGACCCTTCACTCCACAGGCCGACGCTCTATCCACTGAGCCAAACCGGCTATGGCAGTAGTCTCCTTTCTTGCCACAGTTTAATGGGAGCAACAGCTTCAACACTTCAAAAATGAAAGAAAGCTCAATAAAAAAACATATTTTTATTGATTTCAGAGAAGAAGGGAGAGGGAGAGTGAGATAAAAACATCAACGATCAGAGAGAATCATTGATTGGCTGCCTCCTGCAGGTCCCCACTGGGGATCAAGCCCGCAACCTGGGCATATGCCCTGACCAGGAATCAAACCGTGACCTCCTGGTTCATAGGTCGATGCTCAACCTCTGAGCCATGCCGGCTGGGCTTATCTTAAAGGTCAAAATCCTAATCAGTAGCTGTTCTGGTCCGGATTACAAGGAGGGGTTGGACTTGCCATTCCGCTTGGGTCTGTATAACCCTGGATTCATTGTGGATTTGTTTCAGGCCGGTTCCTCCAGCGAAGCCATTTTTAGAACAATGAGCAAGGAGCTAGTCCCAGCGAGTCGAGTGGCCTTGGCCGGGGAGTATGGAGACGTTACTTACAGGTAAGCACCCATCTGCCCACCAGACTGGCTGTGAGTTCTTTGAGAGCAAAACCATCATCTGTGTCCTCAGCACTCAGCCCAGCGTCTGACACGACATGCAGATGATAGCAAATGCTTACTGAATGATGTAGTTAATGATGGATTTTCGGTTGGTGGGTGATTAACTTGGGAAAGATTGTAGATTACCTGCCGATGCACACTGGAGTGAGGAGAGAGGGCCATCCCAAAACGCCCATTTCAGAAAATAGGAAATTGATTTGATTTCTGATTCTTCCTAAGTAATGCCCAGTGGAGCACCACCTATCTGTACCAACTGAACTCTGCCCCCAGCAGAGGTAGCATTCATTCCTCTAACAACTGCAGTGCACCTAATGGTGCTGACAGATTTAAAAAAAAAAAAGTGGCCTGTTCCCCAAGAGTTCTCCATGAGGCCCAGGAGCCAGATGTGTCAGGAGCATTCAGGTGTGATAAGTTCTAGAATGGTGTACGCTCAGGTGCAGAGGGAGCCCTGAGGTGGTTTGTGCGTGGCCAGGGTGTGGCCATTCAGAAAGGCCTCTTGAAGGGACAGTTCATGGTGCCTTTTGAAGAATGACTAGGCATTAGCTTGGCAAAGCAGTAGGAAAAGAGCATTGCCCTCAGGGAGGAGCAGTGGACAGCTGCCTCTCGGACGGTGGCTTGTAAGTCCCGTGTCATAGGTTTGAGCTGTGACAACAGGAATTGCGCTCACTGTAATACTTGTAGACCACCAGGAGGAGGTGGGCCTGCTGCATTTTGAGTGATTTACTAAAGCAGTGGTCAGCAAACTCAGTCAACAGAGCCAAATATCAACAGTACTTCTTCAAAATAGACTCGCCCAGGCCGAAAACCAACTTCTGTGCATGGGCCAGGAAGTTTAACGTGGTATTTTGTGGAAGAGCCACACTCAAGGGGTCAAAGAGCCGCAGTTTGCCGACCACGGTACTAGAGGATTGATTTATTGATCTAGTTCTGTCAGAACCAGGAAGGTAGAAATAGGGACTTAAGGGAATGTACATGGAAAACCTCTTGCATTGCTTGAAAGGCGCCAGTATAACTGAGGGTCCGGCAGGTCTGTGGGCTCAGCACTGTCCTCCTCTCCTGATTCCTGTGTAGGAAAAAGTGGACCACTGAATGTCAGCTGCTTTTGGGGGCTAATATTGTGGTGTCAGCTTCAGCCTGCTGACAGGGTGCTGTCACGGGGCTGTGAGCACTAAGATGTCCCTGTCGCAGAGTCCTGCCCAGACTTCTCGTCTGAAATAGTCCCCGCCGCTCTCAGTCCTTTACCGCGCCTTGGTTTCTTTTCATCGCAGTTATCACCATCAGACTGTAAATCATAGAGGAGTGTGTCTACTTATTCCCAGTCTCTTCAGCTGTGCTAGATGCTCTCTGGGGCCAGGACTTCCAGGTTTTGTTTCCCGCGTTCCCCCACAGCTCAGTGAGTGTCTGCTGAGTGGTTAGGTGAATATGGCCGAAGGTCTATTACTAAAGTACAGGTGACATCTAACACGGTCTCAGGAGAAACTCTTCCCTGAGAGCATCCTGGGTGTATTCTACGGAGCCTTTGCTCATCTAGGGATCTCAGATTTGGCCCTTTGCATCTGCTCCTCTTTACTTCGCCCACCTGATTTCTCTTTTTTTTAATATTTATTGTTGAAAGTTATTACATATGTTCCTTCCCCCTCTCTCCCATTGCCCTCATCCACCCCACACCCCACGATTTCATTGTTTTTTTAAATATACTTGTATTGATTTCAGAGAGAAATTACATATGTTCCTTCCCCCTCTCTCCCATTGCCCTCTCCCACCCTCCTCCCCACAATTTCTTTGTTTTTTTAAATATGCTTGTATTGATTTCAGAGAGAGAGGGAGATAGAAACATCAGTGATGAGAGAGAATCATTGATTTGCTGCCTCCTGCATGCCCACAACCTGGGCATGTGCCCTTGACCAGAATCGAACCTGGGACCCTTGAGTCCACAGGCCAATGCTCTAGCCACTGAGCCAAATTGGCTAGGACCCCCCTGATTTCTGATCTTGTCCCATTTACAGGCTACGCTCCACCATACTGAATTCCTACTGCCCTCCCCAAGGCACCAAGCTCCTCCATGACTATTCTGCCTCTGCATGCAGTTAGCTATACTGGGCTGCCCTCCCCACAGCCTCCTGTCCTGCTCCAACACCCACATGCACATGCCTCCCCAGCATAGCCACACTCTTCTCTGGACTCCCGTGACAGCTGGCAGAGCTTTCCCAGGTGGCACTGACAGCCTTGAGCTGTGATGTCTGTGGGCTTCTATTCCATTCTCCTCTGCCACCTGGTGTCCTTATTTCTTACCCCTTGGCTCTTCTGTTCCTGCCTGCCTTTGGCTTACACACCTCCTTGGCTTCCAGTGGCCCAAGCAAATCTCATGACATCCTTTCACCAGCTCCATTGCATTCGTACCCTCAGAGAGATTCTACCTAGCCCCTTCCCTTTTCCTGTCAGCCATTTGGATCTCAGATGTGTCCAGGTTTACTACCCTTAGTCCAGTCGTCTTTGGTTGAGGCTGTGAGTGTGAGGCTCCTGGAGAAAGAGGGTGGGGAGGGCAGGCAGTTGACAGCTCTACTCCCAAATGTCTGAATCCATTCATTCATTCAACAAAGGTTGATTGAGCTCATACTCCACACAAAGTGTTATTGCAAGAACTTGGAATCACAGAGATTCTAGTCCTTTCTTTACAAGTATTATCAACCTCATGAGGTATGTTACTACCTTTTTCCCTGCACTTGAGACTGAGCCCAGAGAAGTTAAGTAACTTGGCCAAGGACGTACAGTGGCAGACCTGGAGTCCAAACTCAGGCACCTAGTCTGATTCCAGGTGCTCTTAACCGGTATCTGCCACATGGGATGATGGATGGACGAAAGGATGGATGGGAAGAAGGACTGGCTTTTCTCTGGGCTCATCAAATCTGATGCATCATCTTAATGGTTTTTTTCTCTAACACCAGGCTCTGCATCTGGAACATAGCAGATCTGTAGTAAATGTTTGATATAAATGGTGAATAAATGAATGGCAGTATTTACTGTGGCCTTAGATTATCTTTCCAACTCTTGTTACCTGTTACTGGCCTCATACGTTTGTCCCTTTTGACTGAAACAGAAAATCTAAGGGAGGTCCGAAGCAACTGGCTCCTCACCCTAACATCATCCGGGTCTTCCGCGCCTTCACATCGTCAGTCCCACTGCTGCCAGGGGCCCTGGTCGACTACCCAGATGTGCTGCCCCCACGTCTTTACCCTGAAGGCGTGGGCCACGGCCGGACACTTTTCCTCGTTATGAAGAAGTAAGTGGCAGGAGTATGGCAGGACCTGGAGTGGGAGCTGTTCCCTGCCTCTGTGCACCTGGAGTCCAGGGTCACAGGGAAGAGGATCCTCATCCTTTGGGAGATAAGGCCATGCCAAGGGCAAGTTTCCATAAACAGAATCTCTTCATTTAGAACAGACTTTTCACCTTGTGCTTTTATGTAAAATACTAGAGGCCCAATGCATGAAATTCGTGCAAGAGTAAGCCTTCCTTGCCCGGCTGTCGGCACCGGTTTCCCTTTGGCACCCAGGACCCGGGCTTCCTTCCGGCTGCTGGCAGGCACCCAGGACCCGGCTTCCCTTGCAGCCCCGGCTTTGTCCGGAAGGACGTCCGGTCTAATTAGCATATTATGCTATTATTATTATAGACTTGAGGCCTGGTGTACGAAACTTGTGCAGGGGGGGTGGGGTGGGTGGGAACGGGCCCTCAGCCCAGCCTGCACCCTCTCCAATCCAGGACCCCTCAGGGGATGTCCAACTGCCGGTTTACGATCAGGCCTAAACTGGCAGTCAGACATCCCTCTCACAATCTGGGACCGCTGACTCCTAACTGCTCACCTGCCTGCTGGCCTGATCACCCCTAACTGCCCCCCTTGCCAGCCCGATCACCCCTAACCACCTCTGCCTGCCGACCTGATCAACCCTTACTGCCCCCCCTGCCGGCCTGCTCGCCCCACACAGCCTGCTGTTTGGTTGTTACTGTGACAGCATCCCAGGCAATTTGCATATTCCTCTATTATTAGTATAGATGTATGTTTTTATTGATTTTAGAGAGGGAGGGAGAGAGATAGAAATATCAACGATGAGTTAAAATTCATTGGTCGGCTGCCTCCCACATGCCCCACACTGGGGATCAAGCCTGCAACCTGGGCATGTGCCCTTGACTGGAATTGAACCCGGGACCCTTCAGTCAGCAGTCTGATGCTCTATCCACTTGAACCAAACCAGCTAGGGCTGTTTGTTTTTTAACATACACAGTTCTTCTCCCGCTCTGCACCCCTTAACATTGCAGCCATGGACATTTTAAGGAAATAAGATCTGTACTATTAACATGTGAGGCCTGGCTCTTCCTAATTTCAGGATAGTGGGTGGGAACAAAGGATACTTGGGGCAAAAAGAAATCAAAAAGCTCCAGATAAAAGAGGCAAGCCCATCATCCTAGTAATAAATAAGATGCTAGCAAGTGTCAGTGCATGATAGAGATTCCGTCACCTTCTCCACCAGCTACCCCTGTACCTTGCGCCAGTACCTTCGAGAGAACACCCCAAGCCCCCGCCTCGCCACTGTGATGATGTTGCAGCTCTTGGAAGGAGTTGATCATCTGGTTCAACAGGGCGTCGCACACAGGGACCTAAAATCTGACAACATCCTTGTGGAGTTGGATGCAGGTAGGTGCCCGCCCACACCGCAGAGCTTTCCAGGGGTCTGGGGACATAGGTCCTTTTTGGTTTTTATGTCCTATTATAAGTTGTATCTATATTTAGCTCTGTACACAAGACATGAGCAATCTGTCCTTCAAAGTGGAAGCTTTCGTTCTCCATGGGATTTGTGGAGTGATTAACATTCCCAAGTTCCTTTCTGTTGCCCATGTACAGAACAACCCTAGTGATGGAAGTTTTCTTGATTAAAGTAAAAGAGGTAGACTTTAGCTCAATATAAGAAAGAATTTTTAAACTGAAAGCTGTCCAAATATAAGCCCAGTTGCCTCTGGAAATAATGAGTTCCCATCACTGGAAGCATTCAAGTAGAACGTGGATGGTTAATTGTTTGGGGATACTGTAAAGTAGTTCATATATCTGATCACTTTTGATCTAGATTTGAAATAAGTAAACATGCAGTTAAATTACTAGAGGAACTGGCTTCTTAAAGGAAGTCTGTGTGAATACTTTTACAAATAACGAATTCCTAATGCACCTGTTTCTTAGGTGTGGATTTGGGTTTTCAGGTTCAAATAAGGGCCCTTCGAGGTCATTTAAGCCAAGCACCATCTGTTAAGTAAATTATGAGCAGTCCTTCAGCCTTGGGACAGGTCCAATGACTTCATTATTTAGACTGATCCAAACTTTTCTGCTGTTAATCCTCACTTGAGGATATTTTTTCCACTGATTTTTAGAGAGAGAGGGGAGGGGGAAGAGGATCCTCATCCTTTGGGAGATAAGGCCATGCCAAGGGCAAGTTTCCATAAACAGAATCTCTTCATTTAGAACAGACTTTTCACCTTGTGCTTTTATGTAAAATACTAGAGGCCCAATGCATGAAATTCGTGCAAGAGTAAGCCTTCCTTCCCCGGCTGTCGGCACCGGCTTCCCTTTGGCACCCAGGACCCAGGCTTCCTTCCGGCTGCTGGCAGGCACCCAGGACCCGGGCTTCCCTTGCAGCCCCGGCTTTGTCCGGAAGGACGTCCGGTCTAATTAGCATATTATGCTATTATTATTATAGACTTGAGGCCCGGTGTACGAAACTTGTGCAGGGGGGGTGGGGTGGATGGGAATGGGCCCTCAGCCCAGCCTGCACCCTCTCCAATCCGGGACCCCTCAGGGGATGTCCAACTGCCGGTTTAGGATCAGGCCTAAACTGGCAGTCAGACATCCCTCTCACAATCTGGGACCGCTGACTCCTAACTGCTTGCCTCCCTGCCTGCCTGCCTGATTGCCCCTAACCCCTCCCCTGCCAGCCTGATTGACCCCCAACTGCTCTCTCCTGCAGGGCTGGTCTCCCCCAACTGCCCTCCCCTGCTGGCCTGGTCACGCCCAACTGCTCTCCCCTGCTGGCCTGGTCCCCCTCAACTGCCCTCTCCTGCAGGGCTGGCCCCCCCAACTGCCCTCCCCTGAAGGCCTTGTCCCTCCCAACTACCCTCTCCTGCAGGACTGGTCCCCCCCAAATGCCCTCCCCTGTCGGCCATCTTGTGTCCACATGGGGGTGGCCATCTTGTGTGTTGGAGTGATGGTCAATTTGCATATCACTCTTTTATTAGTTAGGATTACTTACTAGCATTTCCCTCTGCTGTGCCCATGCTCTTTTACCTTACTCCCATATGCCTAGGCATATTTTTTCCAGTGATCTGGAAAGTACAATGCAGCAATCATATTAATAATGTCTTATTATCATCATTTAATGATGAGAGCCTGCAACCTGGGCATGTGCCCTTGACTGGAATTGAACCCGGGACCCTTCAGTCAGCAGTCTGACGCTCTATCCACTTGAACCAAACCAGCTAGGGCTGTTTGTTTTTTAACATACACAGTTCTTCTCCCCCTCTGCACCCCTTAACATTGCAGCCATGGACATTTTAAGGAAATAAGATCTGTACTATTAACATGTGAGGCCTGGCTCTTCCTAATTTCAGGATAGTGGGTGGGAACAAAGGATACTTGGGGCAAAAAGAAATCAAAAAGCTCCAGATAAAAGAGGCAAGCCCATCATCCTAGTAATAAATAAGATGCTAGCAAGTGTCAGTGCATGATAGAGATTCCGTCACCTTCTCCACCAGCTACCCCTGTACCTTGCGCCAGTACCTTCGAGAGAACACCCCAAGCCCCCGCCTCGCCACTGTGATGATGTTGCAGCTCTTGGAAGGAGTTGATCATCTGGTTCAACAGGGCGTCGCACACAGGGACCTAAAATCTGACAACATCCTTGTGGAGTTGGATGCAGGTAGGTGTCCGCCCACACCGCAGAGCTTTCCAGGGGTCTGGGGACATAGGTCCTTTTTGGTTTTTATATCCTATTATAAGTTGTATCTATATTTAGCTCTGTACACAAGACATGAGCAATCTGTCCTTCAAAGTGGAAGCTTTCGTTCTCCATGGGATTTGTGGAGTGATTAACATTCCCAAGTTCCTTTCTGTTGCCCATGTACAGAACAACCCTAGTGATGGAAGTTTTCTTGATTAAAGTAAAAGAGGTAGACTTTAGCTCAATATAAGAAAGAATTTTTAAACTGAAAGCTGTCCAAATATAAGCCCAGTTGCCTCTGGAAATAATGAGTTCCCATCACTGGAAGCATTCAAGTAGAACGTGGATGGTTAATTGTTTGGGGATACTGTAAAGTAGTTCATATATCTGATCACTTTTGATCTAGATTTGAAATAAGTAAACATGCAGTTAAATTACTAGAGGAACTGGCTTCTTAAAGGAAGTCTGTGTGAATACTTTTACAAATAACGAATTCCTAATGCACCTGTTTCTTAGGTGTGGATTTGGGTTTTCAGGTTCAAATAAGGGCCCTTCGAGGTCATTTAAGCCAAGCACCATCTGTTAAGTAAATTATGAGCAGTCCTTCAGCCTTGGGACAGGTCCAATGACTTCATTATTTAGACTGATCCAAACTTTTCTGCTGTTAATCCTCACTTGAGGATATTTTTTCCACTGATTTTTAGAGAGAGAGGGGAGGGGAGAGAGAAAGAGAAACATTGATGTGAGAGAGACACATCAATTGGTTGCCTTTGACCAGAAATCGAACCTGGCACCCTTTAAAGGTGTATGGGCCAACACTCTATAACCACTGAGGACACCGGCCAATCTAGATTGATCCAAACTTTTATCCAGTTCTTTGTTTGAGGGCTTTGTCAGGGAGCCTTTATTTTCTAGAGGCATTTCTGTATTTGTGTAGCTGGCCTTCCCATTTGGCTCTCTGGAGAGCTCTCTGCTCTCCTGTACCAACCCTGAGTCCCTGTTAGCCCCTCTCCCCTACGTCTTGATGGTGGCTTTAGTAGGTTCATAGGAGGGCCTCTCAGAGGAAAGATGGAGAAGCAGTTGCTTACCCGCTCTGTCCCTTCCCCAGACGGCTGCCCCTGGCTGGTAATCTCAGATTTTGGTTGCTGCCTGGCTGATGAACGCATCGGCCTGCAGTTGCCGTTTACCAGCTGGGATGTGGATCGGGGCGGAAACGGCTGCCTGATGGCTCCTGAGGTGAGTCCTGCTGAGATGTCATGCGCCATCAGCAACTCTGGTGTTTCCACTGATAGAACAAGACTTCATGCCTCATCATTTTCTCAGCTCCTCCAGCTTTCATGACCCATGATTTGGCACCAGTCCCTTCCCTGCCACTTTGCTTTAGTCTGGATCTCCCCAATGTTCCTGGGAGATGCATGTTTTGTCAGCACAAAGTCGACAGCATAGACAGATTCTTCTGGGTCTGAGCTACAACTCACTAAAATTCTAGGTTCCTTAGGACAGAGTTCAGATTAGCCCATGAATCAGGTGGCATGCAGGAGCATGAGTAGCTTAGAAATACCAGCAACATGATTGCTCATCCATTGCTTTCTGAGCAGGTGTCCACGGCCTGCCCTGGCCCCAGGGTGGTGATCGACTACAGCAAGGCTGATGCCTGGGCAGTGGGAGCACTCGCCTATGAAATCTTCGGGCTCCCCAATCCTTTTTACGGCGAGGGTGGAGTCTACCTTGAAAGCCGAAGCTACCAAGAGACTCAGCTGCCTACACTGCCCGAGTCGGTGCCTCTAGATGCGAGACAGCTGGTGAGATCACTGCTGCAGCGGAAGGCCAGCAAGGTGAGGCCATCCCCAGGTTTTGCAGGGAATTTGCAGGTAGAAACCTCAGAGTAAAGATCAGCGTTGGGCAAGCACTAGAGCAGGGGTCGGGAACATCTGCCCCGCGGGCATACAGCTGGCAACATCATTTGGACTGTCCCTGCCAAGGCATTCGGGGTGAGTTCATTAAATGTTAGACCAAGTAAATATAGCAGGCTCATTTTTAAGGTAATTTTGTGTAGCCTGAGAATGATGTTATAAATATCCAAATGGCCCTTGGAAGAAAAAAGGTTCCCCACCCCTGATGTAGAGTGACCAACAACTCTTCTGCCTTACAAAGATTTAAAAACCAAGTACAGGAGAGCAAAACAGAGTTTAGTATGAATTGGAGTAGGGGAACTAGCCACCAAATTAGAATCCCAGCAGGTCAGCTCTTCTTGGCTTTAGTTGCTTACGTTACTCAGAGGGAGAAAGATGCATTTTTAAGAAATGTCTGTTGGAGATGTAGTTTATGGAAATGGCTGAGATCTAATGAGACAGTAGATGTAAAGACATGTATGAGAGCAGATCTGGACATTCTGAAGTTACTATAAGGCCGTGGTCGGCAAACTGGCTCACGAGCCACATGCAGCTCTTTGGCCCCTTGAGTGTGGCTCTTCCTAAGCCTTATGAGTACCCTAATTAAGTTAATAACAGTGTACCTACCTATATAGTTTAAGTTTAAAAAACTTGGCTCTCAAAAGAAATTTCAATCATTGTGCTGTTGATATTTGGCTCTGTTGACTAATGAGTTTGCCGACCACTGCTATAAGGAATCTAAAGGCTAACACAGGAGAGGCCACACGGTTGGGGTGGCAGGTCTGGTTCAGGTGGCATGCTTAGTGAACAGAGCAGAGGCAGACCAGGGTTCAAATTCTGTTCTTCCACTTCCCTCCCATCTTGCACAGGGTGCTGTCATGGTCACAGTAATGCTTTCTGCTACCAGTTACTATGAGATACAACTCATTCCAGACAGTGCTCCTAGCAGGAGGCAGTTTGTGGGCCCTCCGTGATGGGGAGGCCCACTGGGAGCACACTGCCCCCAGGCAAACATGTAAACATGGGAAAGCCTGGAGCATGGGTAGAAAGCAGCCAATATGTCAGGAAAGTGAAAGGTGTGGTAGGGGAGAGACGGGCGGAGAAGAATTTGGTTGGGACCAGGGGAGGGAAGAACCTGAAATGAGGATTCCTTACCGAAGAGGGTTGTGGGCTGAACACTTTGTCACAGATGTTCTAAGCCTCAGCTTCCCTTCCTGTTGCAGAGACCATCTGCCCGAGTAGCTGCTAATGTGCTTCATTTAAGCCTCTGGGGTGAACAAACTCTAGCCCTGAAGAATCTGAAACTAGACAAGATGATTGGCTGGCTCCTCCAACAATCAGCAGCCACTCTGTTGGCCGACAGGCTTACAGAGAAGAGCTGTGTGGAAACAAAAATGAAGATGTTATTTCTGGCCAACCTGGAATATGAGGCGCTGTGCCAAGCAGCCCTCCTCCTCTACTCTTGGAGGGCAGCCCCATGAAGGCTGTTGTAGCTGGTGAATTACTAAAAGAACTTGCAGCATCGATGTCGTGATGGTCTGTGAATGCTGAAGGGGGCGGGGGGTCTGAGGTGTGAGGAGAGAGTCAGGAGAAAAGATGGCACAGAGAGGGCTGGTCAGTGGAAAAGAAGGCATCTGGTTTGGCAAATGGGAGGAACAAGTTGAGTGAGGTTCACGGTCTGTAGCTATTAACTCTAGCTGTGCGATTGTGGTGCATCTACGTACATTTCTTACTTTTCCTATAGAGGGCCCCATAGTAAACACCCAGGCTGCTGCAGCTACTCAACTCTGCTGTTGTGGCACAAAAGCAGTCTTAAATATGGAAACAAACAGGTGTGGCTGCATGCCAATAGTAAAGCTTTATTTATGGACACTGAATTTCATGTGTCACTTAAATAGTCTTGTTTTTTAAATGGTTTTTAAAATTATTTTTTGCTTGCAGGAGCTTTATTTATGGACACTGAATTTCATGTGTCACTTAGTCTTGTTTTTTATGTTTTTAAATGGTTTTTAAAATTATTTTTTGCTTGCAGATCATACAAAAATAGGCAGCAGGCTGGATTGGCCCATAGGCCATAGTTTGCCAACCCCCTGGTCTAGATGAAGTCAAAGGGCCTAACTCTTAAAAAAAAAGCACTAATCAGCCCCTATGTGTATGGATGCTAAAATTGTGGTAAGATCTTAGCCTACAAAGGTGAGAAGATACACTCAGGTGTTAACTGCTGACCACAAAGCCCTACCTTACGCTCATGTTCTGTCTTCACAGACCTCTGAAGAGTAGATGGCTGGGCTGTTAAATGAGGCTGGGCTGGGGAGGGGTGGACCTGCACGCCACTTTATAGAGGATCCAGGCCAAGGCGTCGCTGTCAGCAGCATGCTACCTGAGCTAAGGCAAGCGTTTGCACAGGTCAGTATATTGATACCAGAATGAAAAACATGCAGGCCTGGAAAACGAGAGCCTGTGCACTCCAGCTGCTGCATTGAGTCTAGCAGAGCTAAAATGACCAATGGAATGGGAATTAACAGCATGGTGTTTTAAACTTGCCGGTTTCCTCCTGACTGGCATTTCTTAGAGGAATTGTGAAGAATTAAATGCATATTTACAACTGCAGAATATATATGTGCCTTGGACTATTTGGCTTTAAGACTGATTCTTATACCATAAAGAAAAGAATTTTGTAGGCAGAGATCAACAATGGAAGGGATTTCGCATATAATTTTGCACATGCTCTTTAGGAATATGGCTATTGCCTAACGCAGCGGTCGCCAACCGGTGGTCCGCAGACCATTGGTGGTCCGTGAGGTCCGAAAGGTTGGCGACCACTGGCCTAAAGCAAGTGAACATATATTTAAGGTTCTTATGAAAATCAAACAATTCTGTGTCTGTTATAAAGGCAGTGCTGTTACCTTAGATTCCCATGTCAGCGATTCCCCACTGGCCTCAGTGTATTAGCCTTATTTTATCCCTTGAGAAGTTTGGAAACACTATCATTTCATAAAGTACAGTCTCGTCTTCAGCAAAATTAAGAGAGGCCACTTAGTGTTTTGTGTCCAGTCATTACCTCTTTAGCAAAGTACAATGGGAGCCAGATGAAGTTTGAGGGTAATGTTTCTATTTATTTTAGAAATGAGAGTAGCTGCACATTTGAAAAAAACCACTCAGCACGAGATGGAAAAACTTACATAAAAACCATCCCTGGACCCCCACTCCTTTTGTACTCAGGGCTACATCTCCCATTGAGGTAAGGTTATGCCACTGTCCCATGGCTTTAAAAAAATAAAAATAAAAAAGGGGGGAAAAATCCAATCCTATTAAATCCTATTAATCCAATCCTATAAAAACCCTCCGTGTCTCCATGCTGTAAGGAGTCCCAAGGCCCTCAGTCAGACTTCTCCTTCTCCTTCATGTGTAAGAAGACGATGCTGAAGATGAAGAGTCCTGCCATCATGGAGAAGGCGCTGGCGTAGTAGGGATAGGCCGAGGGGATGAAGCGCTCATACTGCGTGTGCTGCAGTGGCCTCACTGACACCTGCAACAGGACAGAGTGACAGGCCCGGCCTCTCGGAAGCCCAGTGGGACACGCTGGCTGAAATGGGCTGTGTGGCCTGTGCTTACCTGAGTGGAAGAGTACAAGTGTGTGTAGCCCAGCCGGTTGTAATCCACTTTAAACTGGAACACACCGTACACGTCAGGCAACTTGAACTGGACACTGTACTTGCCACCTGGGGAAGATCAACACGTAACCAGGAGGGGTTCCCAGAGCGCTGCTCGGTTAGCCTCCCGAGAGTGAGCCACAGGCAGGGACTGTCTTCCTGCAGCTCCTGGGAGAACCGCTTTTACCTTTCTTCTTCAGGAAGGTCCTCACAAAAGGATCGATGCGGACAAACTCCAGCTGAATGTCATCACCATCAAAGGGGACCCACTGGCCATTAGAGAGCTGCTCGATCACGATGCTGTACTCCTGCGAGAAAAGGCCAGTTAGCCAGGGGCCTGTGACTGGAGGGAGGCTGCCACCCTCAGAGCTACTCAAATCTAGCAGGAACTCCCAGGAGCTGTGAAAACCTGGCCAAGCCCCACCCCTGGGCAGTAACTGAAATACCACCTGGCAGGCTAACCCTCTAACTCCCATCCACACCTGTTCACAGGCTGGTGGAAGCCTGCACCCAAACTGCGCTCCACCGGGAGGTGCCGGGTACTCTCGGGCATCCCTGCTTCCACTCACTGCTCTCTTGCCTTTCCCCACTTCTCTTGCCTCACACCCGACTCTAACGGCACTTCTCTTGTGATCCCCACTGTCGGCAGAGTGAGTCAGAGAAGCCCCTCCCGCTTCTGCACTTCCCACAAGGTCGCCCTCAAGATATCGGTTTCTCTGCACCCAAACTGACTTTCTTCAGGGCAGAGGTTAACGTGGTCACCCATACGTAGGCCCCGTAGGCCCAACACAGAAATGCTTTTGAGCTGGGTCAACATGGCCAGCTCACTCCAAGCTCTTACCACAAGGTCAGTGACAGTGTAGGCATTGGGTGGGGCTGTCTCGCCCACCCGGTGGTGGGACACAGGCCCCACACGGAGGACACCCTCTTCTTTGAACACCCAGCGGGAGAGGGCCAGAGCTAGCTCATAGTTGCCCGTCTGGGAATACCTGCAGGAGGGGAAACAGCAGAGGCTGCAGCACCAGAACCAACTCCTTCCAAGTGGGAACACAGAAATGAAAAGATGGGAGGGGCATGGCTTTGGGTGTTACCTGTACAATAAGCACACAATTTTCAAAGTGCTCCAGAGAGGCATAACTAGCTTGGAGTGCCAGCACGACCAATATAGCAACAAAGTCAAATCCTTCAATAATTTTAACGCACCTAAAGATACTTAGCCTCTGACACTGTTAGCCAAAAGGCTTCCTCCCCATCGGAGTCCTCCCCTCTGCACAGACCCCATCACCCAGACCACAGGCCTCTAAGTCCCCTGGCATCTACCTCTGGGAGCCGGGCATGGCCTTCTGCACTGCCGAGTTGAAGAAGGCATCGCTGAAGAAGTCGAGGGAACCGCTGAAGATGACCCGGGCGTTGTTCCTGGCCTGGAGCCCAGCAATCAGGAGGGTGTTCTTCCCCACTGCATGGGGGTACTAGGAGCAACAGGAGGCTGTCATCCCCAAGAGCCAGGGCAAAGGACAGCCGCTGGGCCCCTAGCGCAAGAGGACCACAGGCTAGACCTGAACAACCTAGGCCCTACCTGAGACCACTCTGCCCGCTCCCCGCTCCCCCGCTTCTCGTTTCACCAGCCTCGGCAGCGTGTGCTTTCCTGCTTAGGTCTCCTCTCCAATAAAAAAGCGCTTTGTACCAGGCCCAGGAGATGGGGTCTCGAGGCTGCAAAGGCCCCTCACCTGGGTGATAGGTTTATCTGGGAAGAAGGAGTACGAGGTGGAAGAGCCTGTCAGGATGTCCAACACCAAAGGATTGTCAGGATCAGCCACCATCCTGGGGAAGGAAGAGAGAACCACCCAACTCAGACCCAAGGACCTGGGGATCCCTAAGGGCCATCTCTTCACAGGAGTGAATCCTACTTCCTTTAACTGGCAAACACTTAGCTCTCCTCTTGCAGTAACTACGAAGCTGTGACTCTTACGTTATGACTTAATCCCACCTGCTTCTTCTGGAGGAAGGAATAACCCAAATAATCCCAAGTCTGGTAGGTTTCCTGACAAAACAAAGTGACCCCTCTCCCCCAGGTTTCCGTTGGCCTCTCCTTGCTCACTCACCCAACACCTCGAAAGAGGATGGGATTTAGAGACGACTTCCCAACAATGGTCGGGGCCTTCAGCAGGTTCTCGGTGTCAGCCACAATGAGCGTATGCTGCAACAGCAGAGGGGAGGCCGGTGGTTGGAAAGGTGGCCCCAAGCCAGGGGTCCCGCCCGACTCCCGCACGGTTACTAGGGTGAGCTTTGCTACAAGGGACTGAAACCTGGAAGGTGACGGTCTGATTACCTGGCCAAGGTCTGAGATGTCGTAGTTGTGATGGTCAATGACAGCTGTTTTCTCCTCATCGAACTCAATCCCACACTCACTGCCCAGCTCGCGAAGAGGGTCACCTGCACAGACCCAAGAGATGCCTGGCTGAGCCCTTAGGGGTGGGCCTGGGCCAAGCTATGTCACTTGCCCTGGCATCCTTATGATTCACTCTCCCAGTCATCCCCAGGGCCCTGCAGCGTCACCAGCTGGATCCCTGGACGACAGCGCGGTAAAAATCAACAACAAACACCTGGCCTTCTCCCTCCACAAATACAGTGACCTTGGTTCTGCACAAGACCCCCCTTTGAAGCAAAGTACCACCTCAGCAAACCTGACCTGGATAAGCCCCGGCTTACAAGGTTTCTCTCTTCCTCATCACCACTTCACCAAACCACCACCCAATGTGGTTCTTAACCCTTTTCGGTCCAATGTCAAGGCTGACCCGACAGACCAGGCGCTAGGAGCAGGTCCAATGTCGAGGCTGATTTGACAGACCAGGTGCTAGGAGCAGGTCCAATGTCGAGGCTGAGGTTGATACCGCAAACCGGTTCAACATTCAATCCCGTCAATTAATTTGGACCAGACTGTTTGAATTCCAAAAATAAAATTGGACCGCAAAGGGTTAACACGTTAAGTGCCGAGCCTGTTTTGTCTTCCTTTCCGTTTAGTCCACGATACCCAATTTCACCGATATGCTGGTGGCACCAGTGACTGACCGGTCCGGATGGAAAGTCAAGTGTCAGTCACCGGTGACTGACATGGCGCTTAACGTGTTAAAAGCTGTCAATACTGAAAAAAGTGAAACAAGATTGGCCAGGTGTTGTTCATGGTTCCTCCTACTTCTAAGTATCTTTAAAATTTTCC